CAGGAAGATGGCGAACGTGGGGCTGCAGTTCCAAGCGAGCGCCGGGGACGCGGACCCGCAGAGCCGGCCGCTGCTGCTGCTAGGCCAGCTGCCCCACCTGCACCGCGTGCCCTGGAGCCACATCCGCGGGAAGCTGCAGCCCCGGGTCACCGAGGAGGTGAGCGCCGGCCGCCATGCGCCACCTCGCGCGGCGGAAGAGGAGGCCCGGGCGGCGGCGGGCGGCGGCAGAGGCCCCGCCTGCGGCCCTGGAGGGCGAAGGGCGCGCGGCCTGCAGCCCCGAACCCAGCCCGGCGGCCCGCACCCCGGCCCCGCAGGGAGGAGCTGCACCCGGTGGCCTGGGCCCGGGCCGGGGAGTCTGCACTATGTGCGCCCAGGGCGCGCCTGTCACACCACCCAGAGCCCCTCCTGACACCTCAGGAGCGAGCGAGGTGGCGCGATGGGGCCAGAGTCCTCTAAAGAGCTGTACCCTCAGTGCCCTGAGGGTCTCCACATGCCATCAGACCTTCCTGGGGCCGCCTCCACCTGTCCCTTCTCAAGGCACGTGGACCCCAGTTCCAAGCGCCGCCCCCTCCACTGCTACCCCCGAGCCCTGTATAAAGTGTCTAAAATAAAGTGGGCCCCAAACAGGCCTTTAAAACCCCCCAGGCTTCATCCCACTGGGTGCCAGGGTGCCAGCAGACATACGTGTGAATTTGCCCTGTGTCCAGGCAGGCTCACAAGCAGGGACGCTGCATCCCACATAGCAACCTGCTAAAGCCTGGGTCTGCCTCTTGTCTCCCCTGTTCTGATCCTAGCTCTGGCAGGCAGCTCTCAGCACACTCAACCCCAACCCCACAGACAGCTGTCCCCTGTACCTCAACTGTGCTACGGTGGCTGCCTTGCCCTCCAGGGTGAGCCGCCACAACAGCCCCTCTGCTGCCCACTTCGTGACCCGGCTGGTGCGGACCTGCCTGCCTCCAGGAACCCATCGGTGTGTGCTGGTGAGTGCTTACCCACTTGGCCTGTGTCCCCGAGGTGAACCACACAACACAACCTCAGATACTGTCAGCCCTGGACATGCCAGGCAACTGACCCCAGGTCTGCGGCTCAAAGTCAGATTTCCTTAGCCCGAGTCTAGTGTTCATCCCTTGAGGGCCTGCTTTCCAGCCTCAAGAGGCTAGAAATTTGTCTAGAGGCCATTTTTTTGGTCAGCTACTAGATCCATCGTTCTGGGCAGGGCCCCAGGGAGGGGCTGACTTCATGCTTCAGTGGGGTGTCCAGCCGGCTCTGCTCTGGTGAGTTTGCTGCCTTGGGGGCCTGGTCACAGCTCATTCAGTGTCCCCTGTGCCACAGATGGTGTGTGAGAGACCTGATGTCTTTGCCTCGGCCTGTGCGCTGGCCAGGGCCTTCCCGCTGTTCACCCACCGCTCAGGTGTCGCACGGCGCACGGAGAAAAAGACAGTCACAGTGGAGTTCTTCCTGGTGGGACAGGACAACGGGCCAGTGGAGCTGTCCACTCTACAAGTGGGTGTTCTTGGACTTGTCCATTACCCCGGTGTATTCAGAGACCCTCTGGGGGTGAGGTAGCTGGGAGACATGATGATGAACTTGACGCTGTCTAGGACCCCATTACACCCACGCTGCCCTCTTTTCGCCATTGCTTTGTGCTGGGAGGGGGACAGTCCAGTCAGGTGAGGGGCTGAGGTTCAGGCCTGGCAGAGGGTGGCGAGAAGACCCAGATGAGGTGGAGCATGCGAGGGGGTGAGGACTTGGCAGACAGAGTGTGGGGACCTCTGGGCGCCATTTCTGGGTTACACTGTGATTCTCGCCCTTGGGCACAAGCTCCTAGTGGAGCTGACTCTGAAACCGGCCCATGTGTCCAGGGTCTGCTCCCTCTGGGCACTGGCTAGCATGATTGGTGTGTAAGCCTTGAGGGGCATAGCTCCGTGTCTGAGTTCTTCCCTCTGCCCTGAGTGACCAGCTCCAGCTGGGCCCAGTGACAAGGACAGCGTGGTGGCAAAGGTCATCTCTCTCCAGGATCCATTGGTTCATGGGAGACTTGATTAAGAACACTACCTGCTCCCCAGGAAACCCAAGACTTGGGGACCTGGGCTCAGTTGGTGGACTGTGCTTGGTCAGGAGGGTCTGGTCTCAGAGGTTCCATGCTCGACAGGCTAGGGCCCAGTTCCCTTTGAGCTGGCCGGCATGGGAGAAGGTGGACGCAGTGTTGCTGAGTTAATGGGTGGTGGATGGTCATTTCGGCTTCCTTTCTGTCTATGGGCTTATGGGTCACCCATGCCTGGGAGCAGGGTCACAGCCTTGTGTCTGGGTCCTTTGTACTAGTCTCTGTCTCACTGGTCTTCCAAGGCCGCCAGCACCTTGGCTTCCATGGACAAGGAGGGCTGTGGCTCCCACCAGGTCCCAGAGCTCTGGCCTCATCTTTCCTAGTGCCTAACGAATGCCACAGAAGGTGTACGGCTGGCAGCCCGGATCGTGGACACGCCCTGCAACGAGATGAACACAGACACCTTCCTTGAGGTCTGTGGCCCATTTCACCAGGGGAGGAGGTGGGCCTGGCTAGATGTCCGTCAGGAGACCCGAAGACGTGCCAGAAGGGATTTGGGAGGTGGGAGGGATAGCCAGGCTCCACACTGCTCATCTTGCCTGGGGTAGCTCCTAGGGAGGTCCCCCCAGCTCCAGCAGAGGGTGTGAGGGGCAGAACCCCTCCAGGGCCCTCTGGGACCCCAGCGTGTAGGCAGTAGCTTGCCTTCCTGGGCTGAAGTCTAGGCAGAGCCAGGAGGACGGAGGCGCTGGGTCTCGATGTGAGTCATCACGTGATTGTGTGCTGATTTTTCTCTGACCATGTCCAGGAGATCAAGAAAGTTGGGAAAGACCTGGGGATTGTGCCAACTGTCATCCGGGATGAGGAGCTGAAAATGAGAGGATTTGGAGGTGGGTGGGCTGGGTACCATGGGGGTGGGGCAGTGGGCTGGGGATGCTGATTCATCTTGCTATGCAAGAAGCTAGTGCGTCCACCCCTAGCCCATCTGTGGGCGAGAAAGGAGGCTGCGACTCGGGTTTTGGAAGCCCCTCCAAGGCTTCATGTGCTGCCTGCCCTTGCTCCATCGGCCATCTCTACCGAATGTCTGTAGCCACCCCATACTCAGACTTATGCCCAGCTCAGTACCCCTGTACTCTTTCCACCTAAACTGCTTTCCCAAGAGCCCTCCCTGTGGGTCTCAGAAAGGCCCTCTTTTCCCGTGTACCCCCTAGTGCAAAATCTCCAAGTGAGAGAACAAATCAGAGAGAAGTTACCATCTTTTATGTAGCCTAACTTAAAAGGGACATCCCATCCCTTAAAGTATAAATGGTGGTCTCGGTGTGCTGGGGAGTCAGTTCCAACTCATAGCGACCCTG